TGTAAGATCACTGCACAGCTCTGTACTGACACTACTGCTGAGAGACCAGTGTGTAAGATCACTGCACAGCTCTGTACTGACACTACTGCTGAGAGGCCAGTGTGTAAGATCACTGCACAGCTCTATACTGGCACTACTGCTGGGAAACCAGTGTACAAAATACAGATTAGAAAAGTTGTCTAGCTGATAATAACAAGTTGTCGACAAAGCAGTACATAACTACAAGCCCGTTAGCCGAGCACGATCTTTTACAGCAGCAGGACAGAGCGAGAGAGCACGTCAGCCGACCCCAGCTCTCTGGGTTAAAGAGAGGCGGTTGTGTTCGCTGTTCCCCGGCTAATGGACCGAGCTGACGTGTTGAATCGATCAACGGGCAATTAATTACTTACTGTCTGGTTGCCAGCAGGGTAACATTATGGAACTGGGGACAGTGTACAGATACGCATCGTGTACATATCCGACACGTCCACGCGTTTTCATTAGAACTGCGCTCGACGCGGAGTATTAATACAGATTTTCCCCCAGTTATCATTAATAGAAATGACCGTACACAATAGAAACTCGCCACGGACAAAGGCTATAGTCGAAATCGATTTCTCATTTTATAAAAGACGGCATTGGCCGTGCAATTAGATCACACAACGTTTCTTCTGATGAAGAGCACCCTTTTAATTTATATCTAAAAATGAAAAAGACAACCATCTCGAATGGAAATCACTTACTGCACGTCTTGCGATACTTTGGTAGCTATTAATCAGGTTATTACAAGCGTACTAGAATCAGATATTATATATATGACTAAAGAACACGCCGATTCGCCCATCAGGAATTGAAGACACTGAAGCCTGTTTAGCCAAAGTTTTCGTTATTTCTGTCGGCTGGCACAGAAACTCATTCGCTAACCGCAAGCGTCGCCTTTAAGCGATCACCTCAGCTTTTTCCAAAACTGAGACCGATAGACTGGCAATTTCCCACGTAAAAAAAAAAGATCACCGCCTTCCAAACTGTCTCCCTCCCTTGAGCAGTGTAAGAATGGCGTGTAAGAATACAGAGTGATTTTTATTCCGGTCCCAGCGCACAGCCCCCTAATAGGATCCGGTATTTTCCGTACCGATGTTATGCATTTGTACTGCCACGAGTAAAACATGGCTGTAGTGTAGAGACGGGGAGCATTTCTTATCTTGCTTGGGGTGGGGGGGGGAAGAGAAACCAAGCATCGGTTCTAACGGTAACGATGTGTCTTATTATTCCTATAAGCGTCTTTTGTCTCCCGCGACCCCGTCCCACTCCTGACAGGACAAGTCATGCTCACATGAACGCAAAACCGAGAGGATACTCACGTTCTGCCATCGAGCTGTCCACCTCCTCCTCCTCCTCCTTCTCTTCCCCCCCACCCAGCGAAGCGCTCACGGGCACGGGATGAAAGCCGTCCTCAGCCCCTGTTCGCTCGGCGGCTGTGCGGCAGAGGCAGGCGGGCAGCTCGCTCGCTCGCTCGCTCCCTCCGACTGGCTGGCTGGCGGTACTCCCGTCCACAACTCCTCTCTCCAGCGGCGCAGGCTGGGGGCGAGATCAGGAGGGTCCGCTGGCTGATGGGCGTGGAATCGGACGGGACGAGAGTGGTGGGGGGGGGCGGCGCGGCGGATGGCGACCTCCGGAAAAAGGCTCGTGGTCGAGAGGCAGCGCACACCTTCTCCACCAGCCCCTGCGCGTAGGCTACAAAACAGGGAAATAAATAAATCAAAACAGCTCGTCTGTTTCCTAGCCCACTTACGTATGGCATTGCATAACTTCCTGAGCACCAATGCCGGCGACGGAGAAAGCAGTTGGGAGGGGGGAAAGGCGCTATATAGCTACGTCCTGGGGTGAGCGGCGCTCTGAAACGAAACTCAAGATGTTGGTCTTAATCAAACCCCATTGTTTGCCAAGACTGTTCTTTTTCTGCGGGTGCGGTTCAAGTTGTGAATCCCTTCATCGGCAGATTTAGACTAACTTTCATCTTGGGGACCCGGCAGAGGTCTAGGGCCGGATATCAAAGAGGCGCACGATGACGACAGCGGTGACCGACCGTCGGTTCCTCCGCTAGACCCCAGGTCTCTCCCGCTAGAAACGAAAGAGAAAGAGAGGCGGCAGAGTGTGACTGCTTCGGGCACCCGGGAGGAGGAAACGTCACGAGTGGGCCGAGCAAACGTTTCGTGAAGACGCTGTGTGAGTAACCTAGGGGTTTACAGGACAGACTGAAGACAGGAGAGCCTCGGACGCACGTCACTCTAGCGGACGAAACCCACCCCGATACAATCCATGTGAATAAAAAGCCTGCTTTTTAAAAATAAAAGACCATTAATGCAAACACTGCGCTTTAAGTTATTTTTTTATATATTGACTTAAAAAATGCGAAAAGTATGTTGTTGGTTTTTTTTTTAAATGATCTTTAGCAGGAGCGCGCTCTGAACGTGTGGGTAGAAGAACGAGGAGGACCGATTCGCTACTGCAGATAGCTGGAAAACTGAAGAGGGACACTGAATATCTTTTTTTTTAAATGTATTGCTGACTCTCTGTGGTCATTAAATATCCCAGGGTGTTTCTCGAGAAGAGTAGGGGTGTCACCCCAGTGTCCTGGCCAAATTTCC